CTTCTTCAAGATGACGTTTCGACAGTAGCGCCTTCTTCAAGATGACGTTTCGGCAGTAGCGCCTTCTTCAAGATGACGTTTCGGCAGTAGCGCCTTCTTCGGAGCCTTCCATATCAGCATATTTTTCCAAGCTCTGAAGAATGCGTTACTGCCGAAATGTCTTTGTACCGAAGTAAAACGTGTGCTGCATAACAACCTTGCGATTACTGAAGAAGAAAATGACAAATTTTTCCTCTATGTTTGACCTGTGATAGTAATCACAACTGTTATGAAAATCGATCTTAAGTTATTGCTATTCGTATGGAATGACTTCTATTGTTCTCATGACAAATCATTGTCGCTAGATTCAATATAGATTCGAATAAGTTTCATTCATTAAATCCACGAATTTTACTTTCGAACTCTCTTTTTCGCAATTCTCTAGAGAAGAATAGTGTAGATCAGATGATTGACCACTACTGTTTTCTGAGGATAAGTTGTAGTGTTTTGTCAGCAAAGCCACGGCTACTGCAGCAGTTAAAGTTCATTACACGCGTGGTCTTCGGCTTGATCCCAGGCCTGGCAAACCATGCTCTTCTTCCCTCTCGGCTCAGTAAATACTTCTCTAAGAAATACAGCCACAATGATGCTGAGATATCTGCAAAGCAGATCCCAAGCCAGATTCGAATCCATGATTGTTTTCTGGAGACACACCTTAATTTACTTTTTTCTCCGCCTGTTTTTTTTTTACCCTAACGGTGCTATTAGCAATCACCTGTTAACGGAAACGATCTGGGAGCACAAATTGGCATTGTACCCAGCTAAGCTGAAGCAGCAGTCGAAATCAGGATGCATAACTTTTTTATGTGCTGCCTATTTTCATGCGTGATTTATGTGAAATATAACCATGAGGATGCTGAGAAATGAACAGAACTCTTGTGTTACCTTAATGATGCTGAGATATTTGCAAAACTCCGGACCGCTGGCTTTTGCGATGGGACTGAATGCGCTATTACCCTTTCTGGGGGCTAACGTGTTCACCACCACACCATGCGAGTCCTTTCATTCGCCATTCTCTCAACCATGTTATTAACCTGTAGGTGCTGTCAGCAATCACCGATGTTGCGTTATCCGTTTACATGCAAAGTTTTGGCAAACTTTTACTCACACCCCGCCATCATTATGAATATATTTCGCATAGTACCCTATCATGTAAAAGAAATAATATGCAGTAAATAAAAACATAGGTATTGTGACTTTTCTGAGAGTACAAAATCACTGATGTGATACATTGGCATGTCGTCAAAAATCTTTGTGTAGGCGCCAGATACGGATTCGGTTGGCCCTGTAACTCTGCGAATAGAGTCAATGGTTCATTGATCACTAGCAGATGATTTATCCTATAAATCTTCATATTCTCGCATAATATTGTAATATTAAGGCTTTTAGTGTCTTCTTTCACTGTCGGTGCTATCTGCTCTGGAAGATGCTCTCGGTGACCGTTGGTCACGTTGCTTTTTTCGTTTTGTGTTGGCGTTCTTCGTCTGTAGTGTAACTTTTGCCATTTCATTATACTTCGCCACCCAGGTAGACCAGTAAAATATTATTTTTTCTTTATTTTTTTCACATTTCTGCGTTCTTTTTTTGTTTTAGGCAGGTCGTCATGCATATGAACTAGTCACTGGGTTTCTCAAATACGTCACTATTTTTGTTATTCTCACTTTTGAACTTTTCGCTACTGCCTGGTTCTATTGTGAGCGATTTCAACATTCTTTCCTTATGTGTTTTTTTGTTGCAATGAGTCAACTTCGTATAAGGAAAACTAAACGGATCATATGTGCGTGTAGCGCAGTGGTCGGAGGGGCCCTGCAACACACGTGCAGAATTGATCCCGCACCCACGGTCCGCCAAACCTTCCATCCATCCGGGGTCGGAAATTTGGTACCAGACTTGTTTGGGAGGATAGCAGCACTGGTTCTACACATAGGTAGGAAACCGCGAGTCATTGTAAAGGCCAGATATGCATTCAATCACCTCCAACGATGCTTAATGAAGTCGAGTGCATGGCGCATCCCTCAGGAATTGATCAATGCCGATCAGTGTCCCTTTTTAGTGTGCTGTTCCAAAGATGAAAGTGAGATAAAGGCTTACGAGTAAACCAAAATCGATCGTAGAAAAGTTTAACTATAGTGTGGAGTCCATTCATGTATGCTAGTCTTCACGGAGGCCCTCTTTATACACTTTGGTATCCAGTTTTTGAATTTACTAAAATCGGAGGTTCTCGTTTACTTGATTTCAAAATAGTCTTGGTATGACCGAGTGTTGAAAGGTAGATGCTAGGTGGCTACATCTGACGGAATCAAGCTCAAACATCTTGTGAATTTACCATCCTCAATCAGCATTAATACAAATTGACTGAACTGTTCTCACGCTGTTTGTCGGAATTCAAGCAACCAGACACAGAGGAAAGTCAATGACATGACATTCTGCAAAAAGAAAGGTGAATTACATGACATCAGTGTTGTATGCCCAATCCAATCTGCTTTACTGTTCAGCACCTTTCGGATTGGAAGTTTTTCTATTCTATATGAATATCTTTTTCGAATAGAATAAGCTGGGACAAGATCGCTTGAATTGTTTGACACCATTCTAGAGAACTTTATGCAAAAATATCTAGAAGAAGGGAGAGCAGTAATAAGTGGTAGCAGCGTCGTCGTTGAACTTGGCAGTGCCTTCCAACGATTATAGAGTTCGTAGTTTCCCACTTTGCCACCTACTGTCATTCTAATCATTGCCTTTGTATAACTGACTCGGGAAAATACACAATAAACCATGAAGATAGAGGAGTGAGAAGGAAGAAATTGAGAGGCTGATAATGACGTTTAGAAGTGGAGAAGAAAAAGTGAAAATCCCCACGGACAACGACTCTTTTGTGCCAAACTTTCGGAAACCTGCATGTCAAGTAAACAGGATGGAAGTGCGATCAACGTAATCGAACACGCTATAGAAAGGGCGACACAAAGAGTATCACATTTTGCTCAAGTGAATGTGGAAATCCGGATTTTCCATCCGCGACGCCGATCATCAGGGTCGCTGCCGAACTTGCCGAAGCACCGAAAATGAGGTTGCTCAGGCGTAAATGCACTGGCTAGCTAACTGATGGACCGGACTGGATTTTACTGCACGTAAAGTGCTCATTAGGAAGACTTTGCATACGATGAACAAACTTTTTTCTATGACATGATACTGAAGACTTAGGTAATTTATAAGAAGTGGTCAGTCGAAAATTTTGAAATATTTCTTTTGAGGTGCACATCGCCTGGGTATGGATCTTCACGTAATGTTAAGAAACGCATGGTGCTGGTGTTTTGGGCACTTTATTCTCCTCTTCACTTACCTTCTTCCAGTAATTCCAGCGGTGAGCGAACTTGGATGTGCTTGTAGTTATTTCTCCTTTTTCAAGAAAATCTTACGATGAATGTCTTGACGTTTCACGATATTTTCCTTCAGTGATCAACCGTACTCTTCAGATGTCGTTGAGTATTTAGGGAATTGCAATTCTGAATCTTCGTTCTTATAACTTCTCAACGTTTTCACCAGCTATACATTCATGGCCATGGTCAGAATGGGTAGGAATTGCAATCGCGCTTGGACCCTTGATTCCTATACCTTTGTGCATACTTTTGACACTGTTAGGAGCATGTTGTTGCGGTGGCAAAGAAGGAATGTCAAAAGGACAGGTAATGTTAAATTTTTGCACTAATTTAGTTGTTTTATTGATTGATATTCGAAGAAGTGTCCTGCAATGCGTGTAAAATCGTTGGCTCGATCTTGTGCCTTGAACAGACCAATTCTCCATACTCGTGGGGTCGGCAAATTTGCCCCATGCGTGTTTGGGAGTGTGGGGACACAGTTGCTTGTTACATCGGTAAACTATCGCAAATCATTATGAAGACCAAATATGCATACGACTATCTCTACTATGCTACCAGTGGAGTTGAATGCATGACGCATAACTAAGGGACTATTCAATTCCGAATACTTCGTCCTCTTATCGCTGTAATTACTTAAAAATGTTTCTGGCTCATTTCTACGACCTGTAAAAATTATGTTGATCGCGAATGGTTTATTTCCTAATGTCAGTCGGCTTCTGCAAATTTAAATGGAAAGGTAATGGTCTAGCAGTTTTCGGATAAGTTTTGCGATTTTACCACCCGCAGTTGCACTCTTAAGATCACCCTTGGAAATCTGGTATTGGAATGTTAATCTCCTCACATTTCCAATGACCTTGAATGACAATTGAAAGTCGAGGCTTCTGAAATCAATGAGAGGAACATATTCGTAATAGCTTACCTCCATGAAATGAAGAACAATAAACTTTATTAATTTTAAGCGTATTAGCGTTCGTCTATGGTAAATGGAGCGTTAATGAAATCCGTCGGTCTCCGTCCCATTCTCATGCTCCTTCGTTGGGCTCTTTTCGTCAATAAACACCTAAAGCATCAAACTTTGCTACTGTTATTCTTTTTGTTGTTTTTTTTAAAAACACTTTGTGATGATTTTTTTTAAACAGATGTCTGGATAGTTGTTTTTGAAGTTTTTATGTTTCGTTTTCCTTCATTCAACATTCCTATTCAGCGATTACGTTCCGTATTCGCATCGCATATCCGAAGAGATTATCGAGAAAAGTCATCTACTAAGCCGCCACCGCGATACACTGGAACCGCTCCAGGATATCTTCTTTTGCCTCAAGCTCCACTTGCGGAGCCGGAGACATATGCGTAGTCTGGCTAGCATAGATGTCTCTATATCTTCTTATGATAAGATAGTCGTGATACTCATTTTAAAGTCAGGTGAATATATTTTTCCACTTACAAACATTTTAAAGTAATATTTCGAAAGGTGTGTATAGCGCAATGATTGGTGGTCCTTGCAACACGTACGTAGTTTTTGGTTCGATTCTACGCCTCTAATAAACCAAACCAGTCATTCAACTTGGATCGGTGAATAGGTAACAGACTTGTGTGGGAAAGTGAAACCTCAGAGTTAATACATCGCTAAGCCTCCATAATTCACTGTGTAGACTAAATATGAGTTCAGTCAATTCAACTATGTTACGAATGCAATCGAATACATGGCCTGTACCGAGAGGAACATTACTTTCCGAACGACTTTCTTTCAAGAATAGGGAGTTCGGATATAGAGATTTCTGTGGTAATAAAAGGGAAAAATTAGGAAAAGACTTAACCATTTAGTACAACCACAATGATGCTGAGATATTTGCAAGACTCCAGATGGCAGGTGTCTGCGGTGGGGAACGAACGCGCTACTACCCTTTACGCGGAGTAACGAATTCACCACCACACCATGCGGGTCCTTCGTTTCGCCTGTCTCTCAGCTAGTTCTATCGATCGGTCCCATCAGCAATCATCCGTCAAAGGGATTGATCTAGGGAGCCCAAAAACGCATTGAACTCAGTTAAACTGAGGCTGTAGTCGAAATCACAATGAAATCACAACTTTTTATTTGCTGCTGCCTTTCATAATTTAATAACCAGTTAATGTTTTTTTTTATAATTACTTTGGTGACGAACTAAACCTTGATGGCCATGACAGTCAGACTTCATATATCGCTCTTAATTGAACGTTATTACCTTAGTTGTGGTACCGGTATTTCGAATGAGTGGAAGAAGGCGGCGACGAAGAAGAGAAACCTCCTCCTCCTCAACGTCATCTTCATCTCATTTCGGTCTTTTCTTTTTGTGTTTTCTAGACATTTTTACCAAGAGGATTTTTTTTCGTGTAACCACATCTCGTCACTATTGTCCTTTATAAATTTTCGTTCATTACGGTTTAGTAGATCAAAAGCAATAATCAATAATGAATATGCTGCCTCTCATAGTGAACCCTTTTCACTCGATTCTTTCATTCATCTCTTTCCTCTACTACTACTTATTGTTTCTTACAGAACGAGATTCGATTTTCTAGGATTTTTCTTGCTTTCCTTTACAAAGCAATATATATGCCGTTTTTTGTATTTATGCTTGTAGTTGTCTCTTTCCTTTTCAAAATGTATTATTTTAATGGCTATGTTGTCCTTATAATAAGTTTTATTTTCGATTCTGTAGTGTAATCCTAGAATATCCATCAGCGACGAAATAAAGAAGGATTTTTGAAATGAACTTCATTTGTTTTCGTCCATCTTGCTGAACTCCACAGTTCTTTGTTCAGCGCTGCTGAGTTTTCTGGGCTTTTTTTTCATTTTTAAACCCTAACAGAGGTGATGCCTTCCAAAAGTGTTGAAACCATAGGGACACTTGCGACCCATTAGGTAGAGATCCTCTGCAATACAAAGGTTGTCCGAGGTTCAATCCCATACCCTGAGTTCACCAACCATTCCATCGCTCCGTCAGAGTGGTATCAGAGTTGTCTCGGAGGAAAAAAATTCTGGCTTAGCTGTTGAGCGTAGATCACTGTATAGGCCTAATATATGCTCAATCGCCTCCATACTGTTATGAATGGAGACGAATACATGGCGTCTTCTCCAGGGATTGGTTAACACCATTCTTTCGTCCTCTACTAGATATTTGTGAGGTTAAAACATGAAAGAATGCTCATGTGAAAACCACAATGATGCTGAAGTATTTTCAAAACTTGGACCCCAGGTCAGATTCGTATCCAGGTTTATCCTTTCCGGGAACTCACGTTTTACCCACTGCATCACTGAGACTTTCATTTGCCTTTCTCTCAACTTGCTTCAGTCAAGTGAAATTTTTTATGTAACGATCTGGTAGGGTTAGTTGTAGATTCACACGTACCTGCAGTTTTTTTCTCTAACGAATCAACCAAGGAAGAAGGCAGTCTTTTATTTCATTTGTCAGGTAAAACAGTCTCATATCATTTGTGTCTTGTTCTGTTTCGTTGAATTTGACTCGGCGCCACTAAGAATATCCACATAGAAAGGGCAAAAACTTCTGTAGACAGCTTGAATGGTCTCGTCTATGAAGAAGGCAATGGCGCCGAAACGTTAGCCACAGCCACAGAGTTTTAGCAACAACCTTGGGCAGGCAGCAGAAAAAAATTACGATAAAGAATTAAAAGTGCGAGTTTCTCAGTACCGTATACAATTTCGTTCATACTTTTTTTTATACCAGTTACTTTCTTTCCAAGGTGATCGCTTCGTTTTTATACGGAATCATCAGTGCTGCGTCTATGTTTTGCAATAAGAACGACCTACATTTACCAACACCGAACTTCTCGGAGCTGTGTTTGAACGCACAACTTTCCTGTCGGTTTGTTCATTACTTTGTTCGTTACCCTTCACAGTCACCGTTGCGTTCAATGAATCCATCACGCCGTTGTTTTCGAGCATTCTATGTCTTTCGAAGCTTTATGTCTTCAAAAACACCTGAGTTCATCAATGATGTAACCTTTGTAACTCCCACGACCGACTTTCTATTAACCTCGGCATTGATCAAGTAATTCTTCGCATTTTTGTTGAGCAAACGCGAGGTGCAAACACGTCGCGTTTGCTCCACAAAAATACAAAGGATGACCTTTGTGTTGAGTTCTCTGGGTCTTGTCTTTCGCGTCCAGTCTAATGAATATTATTCAAAAATCTTTGGAATTGAGAACAACGCGGTATCGTTCCATTGGTGTACAAGGGTCATTTGTCGACAATGTAAGGCTATAAGGTGACCGCTGATGACCTCCTCAATCCGCGCAGTTTGTCAACACCACCATAAAACCGCGAGTCATTTTTCCAAAAAAGGTCCGTGGAATCGAAATCTTGAACTACAACTGGATGATTTCAACTGCATTCTCCTATTTTCTAGTTTTTTTTTCTATTTTCAAGCAAAGGAAATTTCAGGATCGACTTTCTATTAACCTCGGCATTGGATTGTAAATTCGTCGTTTTTTTTCTCAGCAAAGGAAATTCCCCAAAAAAATATGGCCCCAGTGCTTTCGAAGCCAATAGAAAATATTTATGAGACGGATGACCAGATAATCGTAAGAAAAACGCCTATTGAAAAATTTCAAGAGAAAGTGAGGTTAATGAAAACAAACAAGTCGTTTACCGTATGCAGCGCTTGTTCGTTAATTGCTTAGGTATTCTTTGGATGATCTGTTTTCACATGTCATGTGGTCCTCCATCATTTTTTTTCACTCATTTGGTTGTTTTTACAACCATTAATCGTGAAGGTCGTTAGGTTTTTAAGCTGATTCTACTTCAGATTGGGAAGTTCTTATTCTATTCATTCATGGATGTATCAAATATTGATTGAATATGGCTTTTCCTTGGAATTTAGAGGTAGTTGTGTTAGGAAGTTGGCAACATGCAGCAATTGGTCCTAATGGATTAGACGATGTCCATCGGTTTATGGATAGCTTTTCAAGACAGTAATTGTTGTTATGACTCCTTGAGGAACTGATCGAGTAATCATCGAAGGACGGAGAGACATTTGGGAAGTCTGCAATTCTCCTTTCAGATTTCAGACATCAGCACTCTCCGTTCGTTTGAGCACACGAAAAGTGTCACTTTTCTGCATAATTCTTATAGTTAACTATTTCTGAACTTAGAGCATCTAGTCAAGTTCTATTAACTTCCGGAATACTCATGGATTACCTGTCAAGATCATTTTCAAAACCCATTACGTCTAGTCGGTTACTTCGTAACCACCTCCACCTAACCAATTCGCGCACATTTACGACGTGTAAATTGAAATGAAGTCTTTCCAACTTACAAGGACGAGAAACTTGTGTTCCTGAATACAAATTGGCCTCTGATCAAGGTTATTCTAGATTTCTATTTAAATCCTTAAGACCTGAGCTAAGACCCAACTACTTATTAGCTCGAAGTCCCTCAACAGGAAGATTTGTGGCTGGAATAATTATGGTGTATGTGACCGAGTTTCATGCTACGAAAGTTCTATAGAAATGGAATATTTCTCAGTATTATTGGTTTACCTCTGAATTTAGAGGGAACAGCGGATTTCTTCTATTGCTAATCTATAGAAACATCTATCATAACTCCGATGACCGACTGTCTATTAACCTCGGAGTTGACAAGTATATTCCTTCATTTTATTATTTATCGATTTATTTATTTTTTATTGTTTATTTATTTTGCTTTTTTTAGTTTAATGGTTCTTTTGCTGCTAATCTATAAATACATTTATCATAATTTTATAACTGCATCCATGTCTTGTACACGAACTAGTAACATTTTTTTGTTTCTAAAAAGGATTTTTTAAATCCAATACTTGGAGGACTTGCCCTATTAGAGAAATAATGGCCCTTGAAGTCACTGCTGGAATTACCCGAGAGAGTGGATTCCTTTGTGAGGAAGTCGATCTAGTAATAATTGTTTAGGTTCCTTTCTTTTCATGATATACATCATCTCAACAGCGAGTTTTTAGATTCGAATTTTAGTTTGTCTAGTTATTCTCAGTTGTTCCTTAGTCATGCTAGTTCAGGATGTTCGCAATCCAATTCGTCAACCTAGGTGGGAGCTGGTTGATTTGACCGTTGTCGGATCGTATGCGGTGTGCTCGTATGTATGTCTCGGGTCATTCTCGTTCGTTTTTATCATCTAAAAGCTGGTTATAATGTTATCCGTTCGTTCGTTGGTTCGTTTTTCTATCTGGATCATATCAATTGGTTACCGTTCGGAGTGATACAGCTCAGTGCGTTGACTTCTCTTCGGTTGTGTTTTCATCGGTTGACTTCTCTGATTTTCTCGGATTCTCTGTAGTCGACTTCGCGTCCAGTTTTTTGTATCTGCGGTATCCTTGTATTTTTCCTGTCTCTACTGCAAATTCTATCAAACGTGAAATGAGAACTCTAGAGCGATGTGATGATGGTGATGGTGATGATAATGATGATGCTCAACGTTCACTGAAAAACAGAAAAAGTCGTTGACGCTTCAGACTGTTATCTCATATTCGTCCGTGGCCATTTTCATGATGTTTTCTTTCGATGATCCAGTTGTACGCTAATGAGCTCCAGTAGCTCTTCTCTTCTCCACTGACGAACTATTTTCTTGTGATTTGAGTCTGTGAAGACTAACTAACTAACCATGTGTTTAAATTGTTAAGCCTACACGAAGTTGATAAAGAGTTTTATTTCAGTTGATGTTTTGACGTCTTCGTCTTCATCGTGTGACAAGGACTAACCAACTATTCTGAAGTGATTCTATGGCTCTCACGAATAATTTGCGGATCACAACGCAACCAAAACTACTTGCTTGATTAAAAACTGTCACAAGAACTAACATTTATGAGGAAAAAGCTTTAGTAAAGTTGTTGTCTTACCTTCTTAATGTTTAACACTTCGGAAATCTCTGTCAAAGTCACTACCAAAAACATCTTAACCTAAGGAAGGAGCTTCTGCTTAAAAAACCTGCATCTTAGGCTTAATGGATTACGAATCTTCCACAGTACGGAAACGATGTAATAGTTTTCAAAATAAATGACGGTAGACTTTTACATATTACTCTTACTATTCACATGCTACTGTCTACACAGACTTTGAGTAGATTGCGGTCACTCACCTTTCCAGGTTCTGAGGAAGACGAAATCCGCCGAAACGTCAGCTGGTTCGTATATAAGGAAATAAAACATCACCTCGTGTTTACTCAACAAGAAAATAAAGAATTGTTAAGCGGTTTTTATTTCCACTTTTTTTCTGAAATATTGATAGAATTTTCAACCTTTACTACTTCCTAAAAAGCTCCTAAAAAGCTCATTAACAATGAACTATCGAACCAGAGTAAGCTCAATCCTAGAAGCAATAAAGCAGGTGTGCCGAAAAAAGTACTGTACGAGGAGTCGACAAACCAGCCTAAGCTAATTGATTTTTGATTTTCAATTTGAATTGAGTTTTTCACAAATCAGAAGACATTGTTCGTCGCAGTAATTGATAACTGAGTCCTAGTTCGCTCATTAATCGACAACTGTAAGCTTGGCACCAATGGCGATGTCGCACCGTTCGGTATTCCCATTTAGCATCCTTGTTATAATCTTTTCTCCTAATTCTATAGCTGTTATCTTTTTCCTGGATGGATACTCTTCTTCTTTATAGCCTAATTGCAGATCGTATAGCACAACGGCAGTGATGCTGGTCATCACGATCACGGCGTTTGTTCGACCCCGCTCCAGACTTACCAAGCTTACCATCTCTCCTGGCTCGGAAAATTGGTGCAGGACTTGTCCGACAAAAAATCATTCTTTGCAGTTCAAGTGGGAACGCTCTAGCCTGACTATCTAAGAACTCCGGAGCGAATCAACTCGATCAGCATTTCACGACATTCAAGATGAAATGAAAATCCTCAAGCAGGAGCCGAAGCTACACGTAAAAGTTGGAACACATTCGTGGATGATGGATTCGGGAAAGCGAATTGATTGTAGAAAGCAGTAGGATCAAGATAGCAGATGTGAAAGACGAGCAGTGTAAAAATAAGTAAAAAAATATAGCATAACTTTATAGACTAATCGCTGAGTTCGTCCTCTCATATACTATTGTTTTTCAGTATTATTAACCTGGCTAGTTGATTCATTTATGTAACCGGACATCATGCATTTCACAGTACTCGGCTCTTTATCTTTTCGATCCGTTCCTCAGCATCCATCATTGACCAAATCAGATTTGAGTGGTGGTTCAGCTGCTACTTCAGGATTTTGTCTTCTTCATGAACGTCGTTGAATCTCTCTGGAGTAATGAAATAGCATGCTCAAAGCTAGTTGCTAGCCTTAATGGATAAGGCATAGCCTTCTTTAACAAGTCTCTCACCAGTTCGCCCACCGAGAAGCGGGTTGGCTGAGTCGGAGCAGGGTCGAATTGGCGGCCATTTTTATGGCGTCTCTAACTACTTCGCTTTCCGTACCCGCGCCATGTTATTCTATAACTAAATTGTCTTATTCAGGTTTTATTTTGTGTTTATCAGTTTTTTAGCAGTAGTGGCATTTTAGATTAGAACGAATTGATTACTTTATCATATTTTTATAGTTCCGAAATTTTGTTCTTAGGGTTTTGGTATCGATTTCCGAAAACATTTCGTTTTTTTAAACAAAATTAGTCAAGTTCACTGAAAGTTTCTGCCTTCAAGTACTGAAGAAATCAATTTAACATTATCTGAGATATTCTATTCCATCGGTTTTTTGTCACGAGTGCCCAACTATTGTATCCTGACCTTCCCTTAATCCAATCATCTAGTGATGCAAGCAGGCTTCAGTAGCTCCTCCATTCATTCCTCCCGTATGTCTAGTTGGCTTTACTCTTTTTAGACAGAGAAGAAAGCACCGCGTATGCTCTGATTTCCTTCATAGGGAGGTCGGACCAAGTAGAAAGATGATGCGGTAGATATAGAGGCATTACCTATCACGCCCTCCGTCGGTATGACTCATCGCTATTATTGTATGGTGATTTTGACTTAGATTCATGATTTGTCTCACTTCGATATTAAAGCACTAGGTTCGTGCCGATCCTTGATGGTTGGGATAGGTTGGAACTAGGGATTCACTCTTTCACTTCCCTAAAACGGGTTACGCCCCTCATAGCATCAGCGCTGCTTCGATAGCGGATTCGACAATGCTGATCGCTCTTTCTTTTAAATATGTAATTTCTTGATATTCAACGACTATACTGCAAAGGCTATAACGTGATTACAATTGTAATAAGTCGTTCGCAATAAAGTATACAGTAATATGTAGCGAAGTCTTGTCCGGTTGTACCACATTACTCATCCATCAATTTAGTTGGCTCATTTTGGTAAAGCTCTTCATTTGGAGTCGTAAGAAGTTCTTAGGAACTGTGCTTTCTATTTGATTGATATTTTTTTGGTTGGACAAGTTATATTTTCTACATATGTCTCGGGAGTACCTATGTCAGGATGTTTCAATTCCTCACTACAAGCACTCTTCGGCTTTTGTAAACTGTAGGAAAGCTCTGAATCCTGAAACAATTTTTTCATGACTTAAGTGCAGGAGTTAATTTGTTTTTAACTGGGCTTTCGGAAAATATCGATATTTCCTCAGGTTAGAAGGAAGTGTGACAGAAATTCCGTCAGTCCGTCAGTGCTCACAGAGGAGCCTAGCGAGTAAGCTGGCAAAATTTCTTAGTTGTGGATGTTGTGGACTATTGTACTAGTGATGAGATAGCGACGATATGATCTATCTATAGCATACATATTACTACAGCAGCCGTCTTTCTCTATGTTCACTAACAAATCTCTTAGTCTTCTTTGCCGTCTTTCATCTCTATGTTCAATAATATCTATCGCTCATATGAAGGATGATATATAATAACAAAGGTAACAGAGAGATGATTAAAAAAAGAAAGAAAGAGAGAGAAGATGCAATAATATGTGCCTTTAGTAATCTCTACCCATTTGAAAAACTGCCTCTTTGTGTAAGACTTCTCTTACGACGTTCTACTTTTGAGTGTATCGCTTATACCAATGTACAAAGTGTTCCTTAAACTTTCAGGAATCGCTATGGCTCTGCATAGGCTGTTATGGGCAAGTTTCTTTTTTTTTTAAATCAGAAGCTATAATAAAGCTGTTAACAACATGGTGTAAAGTCTTAATGTGTTCCGCGGATATCGTGGGCTTTTTCCTACAGGCGGCCATCGTCACAGTTTTTTGGCTTCCGATAGCGGATACGTCAACAGCCGTCGTCAACGATATTCAAAGTGAGTAAATGATGTGCCTTCATACAGTCATCACATCATGGTGATAATCAATGGTCGTTGTCGAATATTTAGAAGTGGTTTATTGAGATTAATACAGTGCGCATGTAGCATGGTGATTAAAGTGTGCTGCCATGCATGCGTGGTCACTGGTTCGATCCCACTCCTTGGCCTACCAATACTTTCATCCCCATGGGATGGAGGGCGCACAAATTGGAACATGACTCGTCTGGTAGTGATAAAACACTTGATGCATCTATACGCTTCCAGAAATCATTGCATAGGCCAACTATGCAATCAACCGCTTCTGCGATGGTACAAACGAGATCGAATGTATAGCGTATCCTTAAGGGTTAAATCAACCCCGGATAAATCTCATAGGCGATTGAATACACATTTGGCCTATACATAGACTTGTTTGGTATAAATATAAAGTAGACCAACCTTTTAAATATAAAGCAGACCATTTCATCCTTCCAAGCAATTCTAATACCAATTTGCTAACCCTGAGCGTTTGTTTCACCTGGCACACGACATCGAACCAAAACTCGTGCAAGTATTAGGGCGCCTTTAACCAATGTGTTAAGCCTATCGTAATGGAATGAAAAAAATATCAATAGTAACAGTGCCGTGTTAATTTATGATGTTAGTATGCTTCGACGATTCGTCTGATATCATCAACTTACCATTTCGGTACTGTTACAGCGAAATGTACGAATTCCGATGTGGATGTAGTGGTCGTTATTGATACAACATCGACATCGATGAACACTACGGAATTCTTAGTGCAACAACATCGTCTACTTCGAACGCTGAAGTGAGAACTGCTAGTCATAAAGAGTAGAGCATTACTCATATGTGATTCACACCATATATCAGGTCATATTTTTTGTCTAGTCGCAAAAGTATGTATAAACCTCAAGCAGTTCATCTCTATTGAAGATGAATTTAGTGGTCCTAAAAAACCATCGGAGCAAAATTCTGCATACCTGGAGATCTTTCTTCTTTGAAATCAGGAAGAATGCAATGCTTTTAGAGAAATCCTGATTTCAAGATGTTAAACAGCTTTAGAATGAGGCTTTTCAAAAAATAACTTCATAACGTTAAAGACGATTGTCGAATATTTCGAATGGCACTCGTTCGGTACGCTATGGTCTGATTACGTTTCATGGTCCAGTGGAGTTGATGCTCGAACTCGAATCTCCATTCGCCAGTAACTCAGAGAAGGTTAGTGAGCTAATGGTGAATAACATAAAATATCAAAGGATAAAGGATATAGCTTTCGGCGTTGATCAATCCCTGAGGGATGCGTCACATGCATTCGACTTCATTAAGCATCGTTTGGTGGTCATTGAATGCATACCTGGTTTTTACAATGACTTGAGGTGGCCTACTGATGTATCGAACCAGTTCTGCTATCCTCCCACACAAGCCTGGTACCAATTTTCCGACGGCGGAGGAATGGAAGGTTTGGTGGTTCGTGGGCACGGGTATCGATTCCACGTGTATGCTGCAGGGCGCCCTCGAGCCACACGCGCCCTAATATAAAAGATTAAAGAACAATATTAACAACTAGCATGAATAACTCAACATTTCTAAGCCTAAAATCAATAAAACAAGTTCAATACGTATTCCTTCATTCATTATTACGGTGGTATGAATGGAGTCGAATGCATGACGCGTCGTTATGGAACTGAACAACATCGAAAACATCGTAGGGCTGATTGAATGCGCACATCAGTCCTTTTATCCCCTTTCGTTTTACCAACACCAAAAGGATGAAGGTCTAATTTTTCCCTGGCAGAAGGATCGAACCAACCCATATGTGCACAAGCTAAGCATTCATAGCCACTGCTTTGCATGGACCAGTGCGATCTCTGCATGTGTTATAACTATTCAAAGGGAACTAGCGCTGGTAGAAGCTCCAACAAGTTTAGTTCTCCTTTTTCGTATCATTCGATCATTACTTGCCCTTATAGGTGTTCAGCTTGATCGCATCTATGCGACAAAGTGGTCAGTCGACATCAAACTCGGTGGTGAGGGCTTTGGATGAGGCATTGTCGATGTTTTTTGAGTCACGACCAACCGACGAATTCCATCAGCGGAATAAAATCATCATCCTGGCTCATGATGGTGTGAACACAGATCTAGTTGCCGAAACTCTGGAAACTGTGTGAGTCTACAGACAACATTGATGGTCCCGTCATTATTGTATGAGTCTACATGTCTGCATGCATCTGTGCATGTATTTACTTTATGTACGCGTGTTTTGTACGGCTATGGTCTGCGTGCGTGTGGATGTTCACGTGTGTATTTATGCACTTATGTTTGTATGAAAGTGTGAAATGTTTTCAGTGATCTCCTACCGTAAAGTGTAGAAATTTATACATAACGGCTTTTTGTGAGAATCTGCATGAAGCTTCCAAGTCTGAACTCCAAGACTTATGTAGCTCTTGTGTTGTATGTATCTCAAGACTAAGTACGCTAAATAGAATCAATTTTTTTTAATATTATTACTCCGGAATCATCGTTAACAAAGCCGAATGTGTCCTAATTCTTGCATAATCCTTGTTTAGCGTATTGGGATCAGATTTGTATGGAGAAGCCCTCTTCTATCTGTTACAAATGCCATCTACTGCCTATAGTGAAGGCCTGGTGGCGTTGACGTGGGGCTATTCCAGCATTCCAAAAAGAGTGAGCATCAGGTCAACCGGGATTCAACGATATTCTTCAAGAAGACCAAAATCTTAAATCCAAAGATAGTCGGGAATCACGAATGTGAAGTAACGAATTGAAGGGGAGAAGTGCTGTTATCCGCACAATATGGAATTTTAGGTCGTGTCAACTAAAATAAACAAAAAATAAAATTAGCCTACTTCGCCATGTAGAATGCAGATTTTTCAACATCCTTTAGCGTATGTCTATCATACATATTTGTTTTCAGTTCAAATATCGAAAAATTGGGTGTAGTTGTGTTCGCACTGACTGGTAGTTCTCGTCCGAACACCTTCGCCTTGCTAGGATATGCCGGCTTAAGAGATCGACTGTTCATTTCTGACACTGATCGTGCCACATTCGAAGATTCTCTGAGCGAGGTTTACATTTTTAGAGAATTGAAGACTTTCTTTTAGAGCCTTAGTTTAGTAAGTATTGTTCTTACCAGGCTATTGATTTTTTAAAACTTCTTGTTGATCTTACAATTATTTCGATTTAGAACGGTGATGACTACAGGGAGAGATCACTCTGATAAGAAATGGTGATTGTTGGTCACCATTTCGCATAGTAAAAGAGACTTTCCAAGAGAATAAAATTTTGCACTTACGAAAATCACATCGATGAATTGACTGAAAGGACATATTCTGTTTTTAAGATAACTGTTAGGGACGCGTGTGACGCAGCGGTCGGAGACACCCCGCGACACCCACGTGGGATCGGTTCCCGCGCTCGTGGCTCACCAAGCCTTCCATCCATTCCTTGGCCGTCGGCAAATTGGTACCAGACTTGTCTGGGAAGATAGCAGCACTGGCTCGATACATCGGTAGGCCATAGGCCACCGCTGGTCATTTTAAAGGCCAGATGTGCATTCAATCATCTTCAAACGATGCTTAGTGAAGTCGAATGCATGATGCATCCCTCAGCGACTTATCAACGCCGAGAGCTTTTTATTTTTTTAAGATAATTGTTTTGCTATTCCTTTTTTGTTTTTCTCTCTTTTTTTCTCACCCAAAGCACCACTAAAACAAGATCTCCCATCTTTATTTCTTTTCTACCTTCGTTTTTCTTCCACTTTATTCACGTGCAATGATTAAAATACAGCTTATTGCTCAGAAGTATTCAAGAATCAGTGTAGGTGGTGGGGATCTGCGAGAACAACGCAACTTCGCTCTCGACATCGTCGAAATTTCTGAAGAGAAAGATTAATGGAGTTCTGGGCAAACGTTCAAAGGATGACAAACAAATTTTTTTTAGTGGCCGGAAATGTGACTTTAAAAAGGTGAAAATGTCTTTTTTGTCGTTGTAGTTTGAATTTTTAGCAATGTCGATTTTATTGATTTGAAATATGATGGAAAAGGAAGACGATAACGAAAGTTCAGGTGGATCTCATTATTGTTCTTGACACATCTGGTTCTGTGTTTCGCGTTTTCGATGATCAACGTGCAATTGCTTTGGAGATAATGGAGGAGATTCCTCTGGATGCCTTTGCGGATTCCGTTCAGGTAGATATTGCTATCAAAACAATTGCTTGAGTAGTCTCAATATAAGAAAAAAAATTTTACAGTATCCACTTTTTAGTTCTGGGTTTTAAAGAGCTTGTTTAAGTGCTGTAGGAATAAGCAATATGTAGCAACGAGATTATTTATGACCCGGATGGTGTGGTGGTGAAGTGCGCTGCTCCCCGGTAAGGACAACAGCGCGTGTTCGTTCCCCACTGCATACACATGTGGTCCGGAGTTTTGCAAATATCTCAGCATTTCATAAGAAATTATTTTTTATCATTATTTTACAGCCGAAACCACATTTATCACACTGTACTGATCGCAGTATCCTTCGAATTCGGTTCGTTTCCTCGCATATGCCGTCCACAAACGTTCCAGGTTGTGGCCTCGGCTACTGTTTGAGGACTTCGGCTTCGGCACACATGTCGTTGAATTTTAGTCGAATGCCCGTGGGACTTTCAGCTAGCCGTGATAAGGTTTTCCCACGTTGATTCCCCAATCAGATTCGGCTTGCAGTTTAGTACGACACCAATATTCGCACTCCGGAGACTTGGGAATCTTGGCTGGTACGACCAGCGTCGAACTAACCCTTAGATAGATCGGGCCGTCCGCGCATCGAGCATGATCACTACCGCTGCGTTGCTCGCTGCTAGCGATGAAATTACTAGCTGATTATTTGGAGAAAATGGAAGTTCATCCCAATTTTTTTCAATAATATAGTCGTTTAAATTTTTCAACCTTTTGAAACTAGAGGACTGGTAGCGCATAAGAATGGCGCTGTTCATCACGAGCTGTGTTACGTTCATCACTGGTTCGACCCCACACCTGGTTCACCAAGCTTGTCACCTCTCAAGGGTTGTGAAATTGGCGCCAAATTTGCCTGGAAAATCTTTGGACTCCACAGATTACCGACTCTTTGAGCATTAAGCAATGTTTATAAAGAAAAAAAAAACGATCCTCAAGAGGCAACCTGACCCACACATGAAATGTTTAAAGACATTCATGAATAATGGAAGGAATCGAAAAGAATTCAAGATGTGCTGAGATCCGGACACCTAGCTGTGAAGATGGGTCAGATACAATAAATAAAAATAAATAACAATAAAATCAACTAATTTAAAAACTGGAAATTAGGGTGTAATGAAAACCTCAGTCAAATTTAGGAATTTAGGTGTCAGTGGTTCGGTTCGCTGCTTCCGCCGATGTTATTCTACCATTTCTGAAAGGAAGGGCCTATTCAGAAATCAAAGACACTATAAGAGAAGTGAAATTCACAGGACAGAATACCAGAATAGCTGGTGCTGTTGGGATTGCAATAGATGAAATGATGCGAGCAAGACGACCAGATGCTGTGCAGGTACGATAATGTACGGCATGTGGAATATTACAGTTAAGTAACCCATACTTCCGCGAGACGGTTGGAGCACAATGAGTTAGAGGTACCCTGAAATGGAAATGTGATCGTTGGTTTTGGTCTGGTCTTCGGGAATGATTAGGCCCCTACATCCACTTAGGATCAGAAAATTGGCTCAGACCACTTTTGGAAAGAATAAGAGCACTTCATACATATACGTATTCAATACTTCGATTATATTACTTTCGAAAAGACAGATTAATTATTTGAGGTCTTCATATTGATTTCTGACGGTCATGGGCAGGAATACTGGAATGTTGTGCAGGCCGCCGGTAAACGATTACAGGTGCATTTCACATTAGTGTTTTTTCTACTCCTTTTAATTCTTCCTACGATTTTAAGTAATGAAGCAGCACTCTTCCTTCTTTCTCGTAGAGTTGTATCGCACTGACTACTGTTACATTTTTAGAAGACAGGTGCCGAGTTATTCGCTGTGTCAGCCAGCCCTGACTACAATAAAGCTGAGCTTCTGATTTACGTGGGGGATGAGAGCCGAGTGTTTGTCGGCCGAAAGTACGATAGGTAAGACATATATGACAACGATGCTGTTTAAGAGAATCATCCAAAGGGGAAAAACAAATCAAAAGTAGAGCTTTCCATCGTAACTTTTACTTCAAATTTACTATTATTTTATAGTTCTTGATTTGATTCGCTTCCTGGTTTAGCAAACCCTCCAACCTTTCGATGTGGCCAAAGCGGTAACGGATTTGCCTAGGAGAAAAAGAAAGAGCAAAAAGAAACAAAGGAAAAAAGGGAAAAAACCACTGACTTGATAGAGCACTAGGCCATGCAAGCCAATCCAGTAGGCCAAATGTGTATTCAATCGCCTTTATGATGTAACGAATAGCGTTCAATGCATTGGACATCCATAAAGAAATGACCAACCCTAAATGCTCTGCCTTTTTTTACCCCACGATAACCATTGATCCAAACTTCGATTTGTGCAAATGCCTGATACTTTTTTTAAAACTTTAGAAAAGAAAGGTTTTGCAGCTTTTTACCCACGATATCGTCTTACCTGAACGACTGTGTTTCCAATAATGACAAATCTGTTGTGAAGCTCCCTGGAAAACACCGCTCACTGGTAACTGAATTCTGTGAACATTTCTTCCTAAGAAAATCGGGCTGACCCAATCTGATTCTATTAATTGCACTGAAATCCTGAAATCCTGTTATGCTATAAAGGTCGTGTTCAGGAGATTTTAACAACCACGGAACCGTCCACATCTGAAAGCTTGTTCTCATCAACAACCAGTAAATCGTTTTCAATTATGAATGAACCATCGACGACAGTTGATTTGATCATGAGTGAAGAATTTCCTTCTTCGGGTTTGTGTCTTTTTGGGAATTTTTGGACACTTCTTAAAATTTTCACGCTTCATTGTAAGCATGAAGAAGAACATTTTAAAACGAATGTTCTAAACAACAAACGAAATACAACTATTGTAACCTCAACTAAAATAACATCTTGTAAACTGGTTTTGTTGAGCTGATGAGAGGTTGGTATAAGTGTCCGTTGTCGTTTTCGTTATTATATTTTTAAAATAACTTACTTGATACTTGAACGACCCGTCCTCACTGGTTGTGCGGGCTCCAGTATAATCTCCATTTTTTGGAGATTTGCTGGTTAAGCCACTATGGTTCCCTGAAATCCCGAGGTCAGCCTGGCCAAAGTCTGCCTCAGGTCTTCACCACCACAGGCGGTCGCAGCCCCCGTGGATCAGATGGAGGTTTGCCACTATGCCACTTTAATACCAGGACGGTGGTGGATCCTGGTGTTGGTTTACTTTTATCTAGGCTTCTTGATGGAAAAGCTCCTTCTTAGCTTGGGAGTCCCTGCCAGTGGGATGGATCCCTCAGCTGTACATTGCGGTCCGACACCCAAGAACACCTCTTAGCCACGATAAGGCGGTGAACCGTTGGGAGGGTCGAAATATCGGTGCAATATAATCATTAAGCTGGCACATCGATGTGATCAAGCTCGTCAAGTATTTCAAGTATTTAGAAAATTCTGAACTGTTTCTGAGATAATGAAAAGCCGTTGGGAGGCCACGTAAAATAACATCGTCCATTAATCGTTGGCGGTTTTCAAACGATACAAAAAGATTCACTCTTTACTAAAATTTACTTTTTTTCTTTTGAAAGAATCCAAATCTCGCTGTGACAAAACTTTGATTGTCGAGGGTCAGGATCAGGATCAAGGGCTACCTGTGGTAGCATCCTAATCGCGACGTTATTCAACTGTTTTGAAGATACGAGAAAAAGATCGCTTGCCAAACCAACAAATTGTAATAATTCCTTAACTTTTATTCAGTGCCTATTAGTTTTTTCACGGCAGAGTACTATGTTAAATAAGTAAAATGGCTAGGAGAATGGCAAGGCAAAGGTTTCGGTCAGCGTGGGGGCACACCAGTCCTCGAAAAGAGCAATAGCGAGTTCGAAGCCTACTGAGGCTTCAAGTTTTGCTCACATCTCAGCACCATGTGGTTGACGTGTAGCAATATGATAGGTAAACTTAGAAATGTACTGGTGAAACCGAAATAATTTTTTATGAATAAGTACCATAGGGCACGAAACACGCTAGCACTCACCAAGGTTTCCGTCCTTCTCTCTCACAAATGAATTGGTACTAGACCTTTCTGAGAGAAAAGGAATTACTGTATTTATACATAGATAAGCAACCAGAAAACATTATAAAGGTCAGTTGTGAATTAAACCACTTCAACGACGCTACGAATGGAGTCGAATACATGGGACATCTTCAGGGGACCTTTCCTTAACTTTTATTAATCATCACTAAACACCTTGTGCTATGCGCTTTAATATACAGGAAAACCCGAAATATTTTATCAGGCAAGCTACTGATTATCGCTGCTTTGATTTTCAACACGCCTTCTTTACAGTTGAACCAATCGGCGACGTAGATGAAGGAGACGATGGAGGAAACACATCAGAAGAAATGACAAAGGCTTCGTTAAGGCTTAGAGATATTGCTAAGGTGAATCAGAAAGTTTTCGTAAACCATCTCCGCTATGGAATAAGAACCGATTCAACTGAACAAATGCCAGCATCAACCAGACTTTATTAGTTGGTATTGGGAATAACTCATTTTTATTATAAGTATGAACACTGTTAAATAGTAATTCCCAAGACTCACTTTCTATTCACCTCACCATTGATCTAATAATCCACCTTTCTTGATGAGCGAGCACTGGATTGCTAATGGATATAAGCAACAAAACATCTTTTAGAGTTCTTCATCATGTGAGGTAGATGTTGCGCTCATAATTGATCGCTCTGAAAGTGTTAAAGGTGACCTAAAAAAGGAAATCGAGGTGAGGAACTATTTTTTTTCCAATTTGACATATCTACTTTCGACTTGATTGTGACTCCTAGTTGGAAGTCTTATGAAACCAATTCTCACGGCGTCTAAGATCTTGATGGCACGTTTTCACGGAAAACCTTGTTTGCTCTAGTACATTTTGCATTTCACTACTACGATGCTGATTTGAGTTATTAACAAGTTCTTTTGGGTTTTAAGCAACCCACATCTTAGTTCTGGAACTTACTGTGAATACTAGATGGAACATTTTCTTAAGGGGTTGGGATTGAGAACTACCAACGCTTTACTTTCGGCACTTGGAAACAGCTCTCAACATAAGCCTCAAGGTAGTGAACTAATTGCGAAGTAAAATGACGTCAGATTTCATCGGTGGGCTACTGACTTGTTTGGGAAGAACGTTCTGCTTTATTCGTAAGGAGGTCCCACCTTTGCAGCGAAAGTCGTCAAAAGCAGTAGACTGGACAACTGCACATGGCGTATTAGAATTTTCATTAAAGTACTTGGATACTTAGACGGCCCGTCCTCATTGGTTGTGCAGGCCTCAGCATAATCTCCACTTTTCGGAGTTTTGCTGGTTTAGCTATTGTGGTTCACTGGAGTCCCGAGGTCAGCCTGGCGAAAGCCTGCCCAAGGTCGTCGCCACCACAGGTAGTCGCCGCCCTTGTGGATCAGAGGGAGATTTTCCACCATGTGACTGGTTTGATACTGCGACGTTGGTGGATCCTGGCTTTGGTATTGGTTTACACTTAGCTAGGCTTTCTGATGGAAACGTTGGACTCCTCAGTCTGGGAGACTTGCTGAGAGGATGAATCCCACGCTGTACATCGCAGTCGGAGACCCAGAAAGACCACCCAGCCACGATGAGGCGGTAAACCGTTGGAAAGCTTCATTATAGTAAATTTCTCAATATTAGAAGAGTGCAAGAGGAGCAACCACGATTTTTTACCTTCTTAATTTGTAAATGGGATGGAGTTCTGAGGAAAAAGTAATGAAATACGGAATAATAACGAGGTTATAACAGTCGTTTTTAAACAATTTGTGATATACTATTAGTTGCCGTACTATAGGTACTGTATCAATCTTATACAGTTTTTTTGTAGCTGGCGATTCGAACTGTGGAGTTGTTTCCTACTACAGAGTTTTCGTCTGGAAAGATTCATGTGGGCGTAATCAGCTTCGCTCAGGTAAATTTATGTTCCAAACACGAAACTGGTGTTAGCTACGTTGTTAGCTTGGTAACGACATTTTTGAAATCTAGGAATTACGCTAATGCAGGTACATGGAATTACACACATATACTTACTTCGATACTTGGACGGTCCGTCTTCACGAGCTGTGCGGACCCCAGCACATATGCCATTCGTTCCGTTCTCTCGCAATCGTAGTCCATGGTGGTGGTCTTGTTCGAGCATGGTAGCGCTTGCGAGTCACATACCGTGATCTGTAAAACAACTGCAGCTGCGGACACTGCTGATTAACCTTGTTTACGAACACGTCCTCCCAACGTGTAGATGGTCGTCGAAGGGAACGTTTGCATTCTCTTGGGGTCCACTCTACTGTTCTTTTCGTCCACCTGTCGTCTGTTCTTCTCATTTTGTGACCGGCACATCTATGTTTCACTGTCGATGTATATCCTTCTAGATCTCGAAGATGTGACAGATTTCGAAGGTCAGAACTTCGCGTTCCGGCTACATATTGAGAGCGCCAGTTATATTTCAGAAGACATCGCTAAAGCACTCTGTGAGACATTATGCTTCCATGTGATTTCTATGCGGTTGGTCTCTACGTGACATACTTAGTGGAAACCTCATAGAAAGCGGCTCTGAGGAAGGTGAAGTCTGCCGAAACGTCAGCTTATTCGTGAATAAAGAATAATAACACCTCGCGTTTGCTCAACAAAAATACGAAGAATTACTTGATCAATGCCGAGGTTAATAGAAAGTCGGTCGTGGGAGGTACTCTGTGAGTATTTCGAAGCATTATTGACGTAGTTGAAGAATCAATCCACGTCTCTGCAGCACAGTAGAGCGCTGGGAGGACCGTAGAATTAAAGAGATGAACGCGGATTTTTGGGTTCTTCAGTTGGTCGGTGGCTCCTTTGAGAGGCTCGAATGCGGCCCTAGCTGCTCTCCTTCTATTTAATTCCTCTTTCATGTTGTTTTCTATGTTCATTGATCGCCCAAGGTACACGAACGAGGTGGTTTCTGTTTTTCCCCATCCAATTCAATTTTTACGTCTTCGCACCATGGGTTTTTATAAACTGGGTCTTCTTTCGATTTATGCGGAGTCCGATCTTTTTTCCGGCTTCGTTGAGCTCGTCGGTCAACACCTCTGCTTCGCTAGTACTTCTTGAGAAGATGACAACGTCGTCGGTATAACGAAGGTTTGATAGGAATTTTCCATCAATACCTATGGCTTTCTCATCACAATCGAGTGACTTAATTACGCACTTCAGTGCAACACTGAACAGCTTTGGCGATATTGCGCCGCCCTGTCAAACCCCTTTTCCTATGGGTATTGTAAGAGGTCGATGGAAAAGCTGTGTTTTCGTAGTGCAGTTCCGGTAACAGTCGGACAGAGTCCTTATGTAGAAAGGGTCCACACCATGGTCGACGAGTTCTGATAGGATTGCATTCACTTCAACACTGTCAAACGCTTTTTCATAGTCGACGAAGAATAGCACTAAAGGCAAGTGGTATTCCCGACAAACTTCGATGACCCTGGACGCGGTTTGGATGTGGTCCATGCAGTAAAATCTTTTTCGAAATCCTGCTTGCTCGACTGTTTGCGCCTCATCAAATGTCGTTGATATACGTGAGATAATAATCTTCGTGAAAAGCTTAATTACGTTAGCTTGGCTTAGAGTACACACATATAACAGTAATAAAAGGGCGCGTGCGGCGCAGTGGTTGGAGGAGCCACTGCGACACACGTGGAATCGATCTCCGCGCCCATGTCCCATTAAGCCTTACATCCCTCCGGGGTCGGTGAAATGGTACCAGACCTGTCTGGGAGGATAGCAGCACTGGCTCGATACATCGGCAGGCCACTGTGGGTCATTGTAAAGGCCAGATTTGCATTCAATCACCTCCAAACGATGCTTAATGAAGTTGAATGGAAGGCGCATCCCTTAAGGATTGATCAACGCCGAGAGCTTTATCCTCTATCCTTTAACAGTAATAAGAAGGGCTTCAAATACCTTAGTAATAAATGTGATTACTCCCCACTTTGTGTAAGGGTAACTCAGTGATAGCGATATAGCTTCTCATGCACGTGTCTATGGTTCACCCCAAATAAGCGTAACTACCTCCATTCTCTACGGGTAGGTAAATGGCTACCATATTTATCACGAAAGTTTTCTTTGGTCCAGAACGGCTTAGGAACACAGAAAACGGCTACGACAGGATTCCATGGAAAATGAACTTGACGAACATTGGGCGAGTCTTCAAGCAGCCAACACAGCCACACAGAAAATCCAAAGACAATCATGGTTGATGGACATTGAGAAACGAATTGAGTGAAAGAACTGCTGGAATTTACAGAATACGAGCGACGTTGGATCCTTGCAAAAGGTGGCGTAATCCAATTTAGCCTCCGGAAATTTCCAACTTTCTTTGCGAAACCTTCCTCTATTATTCTATGTATATCTCCTATAGAATGACAACGAGTGTGGATTTTTAAAATTTACAAAATAGTGATTATTCTACAAATCCAGGGAGTCGTGGCTTAAAAATAAAAACACGTATTGCTCTATGAGACGTTTAACTTGAACGATTTATTCCAGGGCACGAGATTGGAATTGCCATTAGATCGGGGTCATCGAGAGCTTGTAATAAACGCCCTTCGGAACATTCATCACATCGGTGGTACTAGATCATCTGTTTCTGGAGCACGTTTGGCTTTACAGGTTGAAGATGTTGAATGAATAATTACTTCTAGAGAACAAATTGCAGGTTTCTTTTTTGTGTTCTTTATTTCGTACATTCAAAGTTGCAGCAATTTATCTCATTCCGACGACTATCAGCTCGACTCGTTACGGTGCTTTATTCCAGTGGTCATAGTCAGGGTTACTGGAGCAAACTCATTAAAACTTCAGTGTAGGTTTTTATGGTGGCCTAAGGATTTTTTCTTCAAACAAGCACTCTTTCACCCCAATATTTCGAAACATTTGTTGCGGATGTTTTATGAATAATCAAGTTCTTTTTTTCATTATGCATAGGAATTCTTCAAACACCCATGATGATGATGAGATATTGCGAAACTCCGGATCGCTGGTGTCTGCGGTTGGAACCGAACACCTTATTGCTCTTCTCGGGGCTAATGCTTTCATCACCACTCCATGCAAGTCCTTCGTTTCGCCTGTCTCTCAGCTAGTTCTATCGATCTTTTGCCATCAGCAATCATCCGTCAACGGGATTGATCTGGGGAGCACAAATCGGCATTGAATCCAGTTAAACTGAAGCTGTGGTATAAGTCACAATGTCGCCACTTTTTATTTCACTGCCTACTCTTTTTTAATGGCAGTGTATTACGCGGAATATAACAATAATGATGCTGAGGTATTTGCAAAGCTCTGGAGCACTGGAGCAAAGTCCTCGGTGCGGATCGAACACGCTATTACCCTTTCCTGGTACTAAGGTGTTCACCACCACAAACATGAGAGTCCTTCGTTTCGCTTGCCTCTCAGTTAATTTTCTATCCCGTTGACAGGTGATTGCTGATGGCACTGATAGAAAGAGAACTATATGAGGGAGCAAAACGAATGACCAACATGATGGTGAAAGCGTTAGCCTCCGGAAAGGGTAATTGTGCGTTCTTTCTCCACCGCAAATACCTGCTGTCCTGAGTTTTGCAAAATACCTTAGAGTCATTAAGGTTGTATTTCACATAATATCTTGTCGTGAAAAATTGCAGTGGCAGCAAATAAAAACTTAACATTCTTCAGATATCTATTCAAAAAATGCAGTCAGCAAAAATTTAAGTGATTCGATAAAAGTAACTGCCAGTAAGGAAGGGCATCGCATTATTGAATGCATCATCGCGTGTTTCCAGCCTCTATCATTGGCCTAGACTCAAATAGGAGGGGCTTGTGGGACTGAAGACCAAAACCGTGCTTGCGAACTAACCAGTGTTCTCTATCTCTTTTCTATAAATTTCACAATTCAAGTTCAATAGCACAAATAGGAAAGTTGTTTTTCTTCAAGGGGCCTTCGCGATGTTCCCAACAGTGTACTATTAGCCGTCACAAGAAGTAAAGAGTTCCCGAAGAACGAAATCCAAGTAAGAGACTTCGTTTCCTTCATGAAAGTTACATTATTTATTGAAATCTTCCATAAAGAACATGACAGTGTTGTTTTTCTAAACTTTTAAGAAAAATTGGAAATAGTTTAGAATTGGGCCGGAGAATCGTCAAAGGTGTTCATGTTCAATGAAGATGAAGAATTTCTGCATGCTGTCAGCAGGGAGATTGGGGTTTGCAGCAAAGAAGCTAAACTAGAGAAAATTGGTGATGTGGAAAACATCGTGGAAAACGAGAAGCACACAACGCTGCTTCAAAATCCAGATTTATTGTCGATGAAGGCCAAGGACATTTTAGATGAAAACAGCGCCAATGGTTTCGAAGAATCAACAACAGTTGATGGGAATGTGATGGCAGTAAGCTCTTAATAATTGGTTCTTGCATAGTTAAATATCATTATGTTGTACGGCAAGGACAAATTTTGAAAATTTTATCTCGAAAAAGTGTCTTTCGAAAATATTAGGTCTTAAACAAGGAATTTCTGATTTAGGAGTTTTTCGGCAGTTCCAGAACAGCTGTGACGAATTTCGAGGAGTCATTAAAGAATATAATGAACGCGACTTCAAGTTTTGTTTCGTTTAATCCGTCATCAGAATCTACGGACTCCTTCTTCAGCTCCGATGACGGGTCTGCAACAGTCGGCATAAAAGAGCCAGTCTTCGGTGAAGGCAAATCATTTTATAGTCCTTTTTTTTTACAAAGAAAAACCAGGTAAAATGAAGTATTTCGCTGTTGCACGCCATCTCTGATTCGTTGCCTCCTGAAATGACAGGTAGTTCTTCGATAAAGCAAAGATTTAATCAGAGTTCCTCATCGATTCGTAATCATTTTTCTTGTCGTAGTAGAGAGACATTTTTGTCCAGTTTGGTATACAACTGTGAAACATTACTACTTACTTAAATACTTGAACTGTTAATCTTCACGAGTTGTGCGCACGCCAGCTTATTTGCCATTCCTTTCTTTCACTCGCAATCGTCGTCCATGGTGGAAACATTACCCAATGGTGAAAACTTTGATAAGATGTGGACTTTATTCAAGTCCTTTCACCCATGGGCACATTGAAGTTATGGAACAGGTAGTTCGTTGTGGATCAGTTACGATGGCAATCAGTTGCTTTAATTCCATTAAACGCCTATGATTCTAAACGTAGGATCGAGTTCCACTATACGATCTATTGCGCGAGTTTCTTCAGTGCCATAAGATCCTTCTCTTCTAAACAGCGCGAATGGTTAAATCAGTGGGAGAGTTGATAGTAATTCGATCCTAAAGGTACCGTTTTCTGTTTACGGGAAATGCAATCGTACAGTGCGCACGCACGATTGGTGGTTCTGCATACTACGACGCCAACGAAGCTCTCATTCTTCCGCGGTCGGCAAATCCCCTGGAAAAACCCACTTATTTGAGAAGGTTAGCAAGTGTTTGTGATGAGGACCTAGGTACGCTGTTAGTGGAGCTGTTCCAAAATTTCAATTGGACTCAGTTCTCTCAACATTCAACATTTATGAAGAAAACAATATCTTCTAGTAGCAGCTTAATCCTTACGAAAATCCGGAGCACGTTGATAATGGATGAAAGGCAATGAATTGAGTGAAATATTATGAGTTCTACGATCTGCACAATTTTTGGCTACGGGTCGTACAAACAAATAAGAAGTAAATGTTCTCTACCTTAATTGATTGACTGATGTGAACGAGTATAACAGAAAAAATATGAAACAAATGGAAGCTAAAGACGTAATACCTTCATATCGCCACATGTACAGAGTTCTTTCCTTTTTTGGGCTGTGATTTCATTTTTTCTGTCATTTTTCACTTTTTATTTTATTACTGCTGTCGTCGCATTCTGATCAGAAGAGTATCTTGAGATTTAAGGCGCTCCCCATTCAGAAGAAGGATCCGGAACTGAGACCTCCTCCCTAGAAGAGCTACGAGTTCACGGAATTCGTACGGCTAATGGATTTTTGAAAACCACTGACGAAAAAAATGGTATGTTGTAGTATGAACGAAAATAAAAAAATAAAGAAAAATAAATGGAACCATAAATGAAATGGAGTTACTATGATGCTGATATATTTGAAAAACCTGGACCCTAGGCCAGATCGAACCGCGATAACCCTATCCGAGGCTCACATAATATTACGCGCGGCGTCACTGAATCTCTCTCTCTTTCTTTCTCTTTCTCCCTCTTTCTCTTTTTCCCACTTTCTCTCTCTTTCTTTCTCTCTTTCTCCTCTCTCTTCCTTTCTGTCAGCCAGTTCAACCAGTCTTTCTGTGAACGTTGAACATGAATTTTGTGAAAACATGAAATATGTGTAAAACAATGTGAGCAAAACAGATGTGAGGAAACGATATAAAATGTGGTGTATATGGTACAAAATGACCTTTAGGAGTAGTTTTCATTGTTAAATGAACGTAATTGAAAATATCTGCGTTATTTTTAGTAAAATGAACAACAAAACAAAAATGGAGGAGATTCAACGACATGAACATTTTAGTAAGGCGTAGTTGGGTAAGGTAATATAGTAAGAGCTATACAAAAATAAGACGATTGAAAAAGGTGGAACAGATGGTTACACTTTGATAAAAAAAAAGAAAAGGAAAGCAGAAATAAAAATTTGGTCAGGAAAAAAGAGTGTATCTTCACCCTGCTCTACGGACCTAGTGCTCGTCATCGACACGTCCACCAGCGTTGAGACGGAATTTCAACAACACTTACAACTCGCTGTCAATCTGGTTAGTGGTGTCGATCTTCCGAATTTTTTCTGTCATCACTATTATTTCTTTACTTTTTTATTTTATTTTGACCCGTTCTCACGTCTACTGTGCGGATCCCCAGCATTTCTCACATTCGATTCGTTTCCTCGCATCCATTGTCCACGAAGGTCTTCCATTTTTACGTGTGGCCTCGGTTGCTGTTTGACGATTTTCGTTTCAACTTGAATGTCGTAGAATGCTGGTCGAGCAATTCTCCCTGGAGTCCTCAGATAGCCGGGCTGGGGCGAAACTGGAATATTGTTTCTGCATATTATTATTATTATTGTTTGTTTATTATCGTTTGCTTGAAATTTGTTTTATTCTAAATGGAAGAGTTTTAGGTGAAACGACTTCCAAGCGAAGATTTCGAGCATCGTATTCAAGTGGGAGTAGTGGTGTTCAATAGAAAAGCTGAAGTTGTCCTTAAAATGAGCGAATTTCGTACCAGGTTTGTACGAGTTGTTGATTTCTACAACTACCAGAGAAGTTCGCTTTCATAGGAAAAAAGTGGGGAAACATATGCATCAGATTTACAAGAAACTATGCGCAGATTCATCTAGAGAATGGAATTTATGTTACATAAGTATATTTTTTTTCAAGGTACGCCTTTCTTTAGATCCGCCGTTTTGGATTCTTTGCTATTAATACGACACTCTGGTGGTGGTACGTCAGTTGCCAAAGGAATCACTGCCGCACTCGATGAGATTCAAAAGAACCGTCGAAGTGGTGCCCGGTAATCGCGCAATCATTCGTACTCAACAAAAAGTACAAAAAATACGAAGTAGTCATAAAATGTGAAGCGACTAGTATAGGAATGATCCGTTCATTTTCAACCTTCGCTGAGGTTTTTCGCTTCAGGCCAACAAAGATTATATTGTGTTTCCGATTCCGAACTGTCACGTACGATACGTTTCACTTATGTTTACTCAAAAGACATACTTAGCTAATTTGCCTAAGCCTCAACTAAGAATATTCCTTGTCGGAAATTATGACATTCTTGTAGAACACCATCCAGGTAATTGCAGAATGCCTACGGTACTGATTTTAGAATTCCTTGTTACAGCTATATGAGGCCTTTTTGGGAAAAAAAAAACTTATTTAGCTATCAAAGATGTTTTAAAGTTTTCTCAAGATGAGAAGGGATGTGTCACGCGATTGCAATCTAAGCACAAAATTTCCATTTCATAGAGAAAGTTATAATGTATTTACAGTGTTTCAACATTCACATCTATTTAGTGCCTATTCTCTTTTCATGGGGTAAGCAAAACCCGATATCTCAGTTGGGCTTCGAACCAGTGATTAGTCCATTCGGAGCTCGCGGGCTATCCAGCACACTAACCGAGGCCCCATTACTTTGCCTTTCTGTCGCTCGAATTTTTTCTAGTATCGAAGAAAACGTCAAGAGTAGTGGTACAATTCAGCATTGAATCCAGTTGAGCTGAAGCTGTAGTCTGTGTTTATGTTGTATTAAAAATTGACTTTCATTAAACTTCGGTAACGCTAATCAGTAATTTTCTACATGACTGAGCTAAAAAGATGCTGGTTCAAACTTCTATTCGTCTAACGATTCGGCGCCTTCGCCTTCCTCAGAGCCGCATTCACCCGAGTCGATGATCTATAGTTAGTCATTGTCGTTATATAGATGTTCCTAGTCCCAACGAGTTGAATCCAGTAGAAGGAGCACCGCTCAAATGGGGAACTTCACACTGAAGTGTCCCCTTGCAGAGGACCCACTATAAAAGAGCACTTCCGAGTGAAGAAGTTTTCATTCATTTGGTGCTACCACTCTACTGGATTAGACTCGGTGCAACAACGACCAGCTGTGGACCATCAACACGGCTTTGGGGAAGGCGAAGGCCTCAAAACGTTAGCCGAATAAAGGTTAGCATCATTCTCGTGTTAGCTCCATCATGTAGAGAACTATGCTTATATTAGTTTACAGTTGTATGCGATACGGACAAAAGGTATATACCATTCGTGCTTCATAAACCATCTTTTAGGCTGGTAGTGGTGTTGTTATCCGATGGGAACAGCCAAGATCATTGGGACGACGTGGTCAGATCGTCGAACAAATTGCGCACTACCGGTGGAGACATCTATGCGGTGTCTACCGCTAGAAATTACATGTTTAGGTTTGTGGTCGGTTCCTTTTAGTCCTATAGCAATGATTTCCTTGACTTAAACTGGTCTCCTTCATTTTCTTCCAATTTTTTTCTATTTTCTTTCCTACAACCACTCAAGTCGTTCCAAGTTCTTCATAATAGTGGGGTTTATGCGTTTTTAAATGTCTATTTAAAAACGGGTACATTGGAAAAAAAGCAAAGCCTGGTTCTTTTTTTGTTAAGTGCTAGATTTATTCCCTGCTAATAAAGCTTGGGGCATGTGTGGCGCAGTGGTCGGAGGGGCCCTGCAGCACACGCGTGTAGAATTGATCCCGCGCCCATGGTCCACCAAACCTTCCATCCATCCGAGGTCGGTGATTTGGTACCAGAGTTGTCTGGGAGGATAGCAGCACTGGCTCGATGCATCGGTAGGCCACCGCGAGTCATTATAAAGGCCGGATATGCATTTAATCACCTCCAAACGATGATTAATGAAGTTGAATGCATGGCACATCCCTCAGGGATTGATCGACGCCGAGGGCTTTATCCTTTATCCTTTAATAAAGCTTGATTCCAGTTTACACATTGGTTAGGCCGGCCAATTTTATTTAATTATCTTTCATTTTTTTAGTGTTAGAAATCTATTTTTATGACAAGAATCTTAGTTTAGGGAACTTGAGCTTTATGCCGGTAGCAAACTGAGAGTTTATATTGATGGAAGAGTTCACAAATTTCTCGACGATATCGAGCAACAAATCGTCCTCTGTGGTCGCTTCGCTGAGGTAATGCAACTCGTCCGCACACTCATCATAATACTGAGGAAAGGAGTGTGGCCACCCAATTTGCTGTGCAATCTGTTTTTTCCCAAGAGCGACTTTCTATTAACCTCGGCATTAATTGATAATTCAATGTTTTTCATCAATAAATAACCTCGTGTCTGCTTATTGATGAAAAACATTGAATCTGTTTTTTTTTTAATATTTTTTTTCTTATCTTTGCCATTATATATTTGTGGCATTCGTACTTTGTCAAGTTCTACAATACTTTCAGAGCGCTGAATCCACGATTGTTCTAAAGGCTCCAAAGTACGTTTCTTCCACATAACAGACGGGAAACTGTTCCCAGAATGTTTACTACGTGAAGTGCCAGCAGAATATTTCCGACTTGTAAAAGAAGCCCAGAATGTTAACCGCTCCGCTTTCAGATCATGTTCAACTCCCATCGATTTGATGTTACTCTTAGACACTTCATCGCTACCTGCGGACGAATTCTATCAAGAAAAACAATTGGCTATCGACTTTCTGAAAGCCTTTCCGGACAGTGTTTTTGAGGTTAATCAATGATGTTTAATGTTCTTTTGAACTTTGCACATCTTTCACACCTTTCTCTTCTGTGGTTCTTTTGCCTTGCTTTCTTTTTCCTTCGTCTTATCGTTTTTTCTTTCTAAAATCTTGCTGCGCGCTACAAGACAGTAGGGTGGAACACAGACTAACTCAGGTTTTATTACTATTGTCATCATTTTTACTTTTGTTACAAATACTATTAGACTGATCACTTGATATTCGATCGATACGAATTCAGAGTCGTCTGTCGGTGTCAACAATTTCGTTCGCTCACAATTCAACGGTTGTTTCTGCTTTTGGTTTATTGCCAAAGAATGAAGTGATCTTCGAATTAGAACGTATCGCCAATGCCAGTGGTCCGGCTAGCCTTCCTACCGCCACCAGTGCTGCCTTTATGGTAAGAAAAAAAGACACATCATTAAGCATCTGATCATAGTAGAAAACTCCTTCAATAGCACATAATCAATCGATTATTAGTTTCTGATGTCTATATTGAAGGAAATCAAGGCTCACCGACGGAAAGGTTCCCGAATAATCGTCGTGATTTTGTCAAGTGGAAACGGCGGCAAAGATTCAAGGCAGGAAGTCAGAGTGAGAAATCAAGTTTTAGCTCATGTCACGCAAAAACAATCAGTTATCTGGTTTTTCGTTAGGTTGTTGTTTCTTTTTTCTATATGTAATGAATTACATAAAGCGCATGGAGCGCTGTGAATAGAGGTACTATTCAATACGTACTGGATCCACGACCCACGATTCGACTTTGCACCTTGCGTTAAGCAAGCCTCCCATTCTTTCGGCGTCGTCAAATCGCTACCAGACAATTAGGGAACGTAGAGACGCTAGCTCGATACTTCGATAGGCCTCTGCATGTCATCGTATAGAATAGTTATGAACTCAATCACCTCTACGACTTCATGAATGAAGTCAGTACATGGCTCATCTACCAGGAATTGATCAACCTCAGACTTTTTACTCTTTCTTCGATGTCGTCGTAAACTCCTTTCTTGAGGATTTTCATAAATTCAGTTTGCATTGGATATAATGCTCAAAAATTGCAATTAAACCCTAACGACGGGCAGTGATAGAAAATTCATAGAAATTAATTTTCAAACCAAGCGTCTTTTAACCTCGGTAGTAAAATAAACAGCATGTTTTTAAATTGTTGAGCTTACACGAGGTTGATATAGGTATTTATTTCGGCTAACGTTTCGACGTCTTCGTCTTTACCAGAGCCGATGATCCGAGTCGACGATCCACATTTGTTCTTGTTCTCGATGTGGCGTCTTCGTTATCGTACCGTGACGGATCTTTTCGTAAGATCTTCCGTCTCGTTTCGATAACGAAGACGTCACATCAAGAAGGAGAACGACTGTGGACCATCGACTCTGATGAAAACGAAGACGTCGAAACGTTACCCGAAATAAATATCTGTATTATAGAAATTAGTCATTCAGTTGATCAGTCATTGACAAATCAATAAATGATTACGACTAATGTATATTGAAAATCCAGAATGATATAAACTATGTTGGTTCACAGTTTTTCCAAAAACTTGTTTCCGTCTTCAGGAATCGGCCATTTCACTTCGATCTTCTGATGCTGAGGTGTTTGCGGTGTCGTTGTCTCCGACAGCGAATCTTGAAAAGCTCAAGGAATACACAGGGAATGATAAGAATCTCTATGTGGACAGAAAATCAGACAAGTTCATTCAGGTAGAGCTGTTTCTTTATACTTCTATGTTGGAAACACTGGGGAACTTGTTAGCCTTTTTTTTTAAAACAGTTTTTTTATCGGTAACACCTCTGAAGTGGCTCGATTGCAACGAAAACGTTTTTACTAGTTTGTACGTAGATTCGTCTTCGTAAACTATAAAGGGCAACTATAAAGGGTTTTCCTCAGATGTTTCTGAAGCGCTAAAGATACTTTTCTTCGGCTACATACGCGGATTGAATGTGAATTTGTTTTCAGGATGTCGGATCCTCAATTCTTTCTTGTACGGCAAACGCCAATGGTGTGAAGAAGTTCGTCTTGAAATCTGATTCGTAACATATTTGTGAAAAGTTCTACCTATTAGGACTAACATACTGTTTCTGTCTCAAAGAATTCTTTTTTAATTATTCGTGCTCTTATGTTTTTAGAAAGGAAAAAGACACCCGCCATTAAATGCTAATGAAAAGAAGTTTTTAGCACCGAGAGTGAGGAAGAGCTAACTCATCCAGATGACATTTTCGGTGATAATCTTATCCAGTTCGAGCCCGTTGGGAAGAAGAGAAAGTCATTTTTATTTAAGATTTTAACAACTTGACATAGAACCTTATAATTTTAAATCAAAAATGCTTTGGACGGTTTTTAGGTGTGTATATGAGAAGATGGATCTACAGATTATTCTCGATGCTTCGTCTTCACGCCAAGAAGTCAGCTAGTTGTTTATAATATCAATTTAAACCTCTTTATTCTTATACGCCCAAACAAGTTGTAAAGTTATTAGTTGAATAATTAGTGAAAAAACCGAAAGATCATAAGTTGGGTGTTAAGTGCTACGGAAAGAAAGATGCCGCAAAAGATGGCGAGGGAACGAAGTACCATTAGCGCTCTGAGTGAACTAAACAAACCAAACTGCTTACATACATACTTGGTTACGGTAGATGATTGACAAGCTAATAATCCAGTCTATTTGAGCTTTAATTGAATTAAGTGTGCTAATGTACGAATGTTTTCTCATCCATGATTTCCAGGTGTTCGAGCATCAAAAAGAACTCGCATTGTCGTTGGTGGAGCGACTTCCTATATCTGCTGATGGCTCAAAAGTAGCCATCGGTATTAGCAGCTTCACATCGGTGCCAGTTATTCGTCAAACTCTCGGTTTAGGCAGGAATAAAAAAGTGAAGATATCTGATAGCATTTTATAAAAAGCTTTGCCTTCAGTGTTTTCTATGCTTCTAATTCGGTATTTCTTTCCATCATGTTAAAGGAAGGCTCTCATTACAGTGATTCAGGCTAGATTTCGATTGAATTACAACTTATTTCACTCTTAATCTGTCTGAATATCAAAATGAAATGGTGATATTCTAGTCTAGATGGTTATGTGGTTTCAATTTCAGATGGTTCGTAGAACGATTGAATCGATCGAATATCACGGAGGTTCCACACTGACTGCTCAGGCAGTCGATCTAAGCATCGATGATTTGCTCAGAGGCCGACGGACCGATGCTGTTCAGGTTGGTTCGGATTGACATCCGCGAAAATCTTGAAAACCGGCTTCCATTAAACCTCGGTGACAATAACCAATATTCGTATGAAATGCTGAGATACCTGCAAAACTCCGGACCACAGGTGTATGCAGTGGGGAACGAACACGCGCTGTTGTCCTTACCGGGGAGCAGCGCACTTCACCACTACACCATCCGGGTCCTTCTCTTTGTACCTCAGCTAGTTCTATCGATCTTTTTTGCCATCAGCAATCACCCGTGAACGGGAACGGACGGACGGACGGACAGACGGATTCATACGAGTTATATTTCACAACATACGCTGCCATTAAGAAGAAAAGGGCAGTAAATAAAAGAGTTAAGATTGTGATTATAACCAATATTGTTCAACACGATTGAGCGACACGATGTAAGGGCTTGTGGAATCCCTTCCGAATATCGGGAACAGCAACCAGTATTGCTAGAAGGAAGTGCATTCCGATGGGACATCAATTAATGTCGATTACGTAGACTTCAGTTCGGGATTTCCAAGCAACATCGGCAAATAGCGCTTGTTCAATCGATTTCGTGCACAAAGTATTGGTCCTGATATAAAAAAAAACTGTTGTGAGAATGAGTTTTATGAACTCTAAGAGTTCAGAATTCCACTTTGATGGAAAGATAAAACATGCTTCTAGCTGATGAATTTCTTTAGGCTTCAATGACGTTTACGTCAACCAATAAAGCTACCTATAAGATGAGATTTTCCATCTCAAACTTTGAAGCTGCAATTATTTCGGCATCAAATGCATTGTATTCAATGCATCTCCGTGATATTTGTTAAGGTTTTAACAGAGCTGTATTCGGCTTCGATTAGGGCGAGTATGGCGCAATGTTCGGAGGCGCCCTGCAATGCAGACGAAATCGATCCTCACGCCTCTGGCCCAGCAAGCCTTCCATCTCTCCGGGGTCGATAAATTGTTACTAGACTTCTTTGGGAGGATAGCAGCACTGGCTCTACACATGGGTAGGAAACCGCGAGTCGTTGTAAAGGCCAGATATGCATTCAATCACCTACAGACGATACTTTATGAAGTCGAATGCATAGCGCATTCCTAAGGGATTGATCAACGCCGAGAGATTCATCCTTTATCCTTATTCGGTTTCAATTTAGGTCCATTCTTGTCATATTTTTTTAAATCATATTACGCTTGCACCTGCAGTTAGAATTTGTAAAAATGTATGAAAAATGGTAGTGAAATAGTCTGAGTAGGAGTATTTCCGTAATAAGCACCACTCACACTCATATAGAGCCATCACCTCGCTGTTGATCATTGTTTTTATTTGTCTTTAGTATTACTGGTGAGAAAAATTATGATACATTTGCTTTTCACTGGTTGTTAAAAATCAACTGTTAAAATTCGCATCGTATGCTATTCCTGGCTTAGGTGGTTGTGTTGATGAACGACGGAGTCTCACAAGATCCATGGGATCGAGTGCTGGCAGCCAGTGAACGATTACAGTCAACGAAAGCAGAAATTTTCGGTGTTGCACTTGGGAATAAGGTTAAAATTTCCCACATTTCTTGAACTCTTCTCTTTTTTGCCACAACTTATAAAATGCGTTTAGGTCGATATGCGAGAGCTACAACATTACATTGGTCGAAATGATCGCATCTATAGAGATGGAATGACAGAGAAGTGAATTTGACTCTTAGCTGGAATGAATCATAAAAGCTCAGAAGGGTCGTAGAACTAAGAGGAAATCGACTCCCAACTTTTTCATATTCACTTGATCTAGAATATTTCTTATAAACCGGAAAGGTATATTGACCTTTCACTTCATGATTTGCCGCAACATCATTCCACCAAAGGTGTGGGAGAATTCCAAATTCATAACCGACCATTTAGCTATTAGCACAGCAATAACAGGATTTGTTAGCCTCTGGGAAGACAACTTTTTACAAGGGGACGAGTCTCCCAGTGTTGGTGACTATGGCGTGGACCCCAGAACTCTCTGCTTCCTGGGATTCTAGGGAATAGAAAAAAACTTACCCAACCATGCATGACATCAATTTCTTTTACCAGGGTACCATCGAACCAGTATAAACCAGTGATTCAAGTGGCGATGTGAGTGGGTGAAATTTTGCGGTCAGTTCATGTCTATGTCTTATTTACCAAATTTAGGTTCCTAACTGACGTCGTCAATGTGCTTAAAGGTCAAAAGGACTGTCCTGGAGATAAACTTTTCAAAGAGGTATAATAATTTCAACTATAAGAACGACAAAAAGAACCGCTGAAAATTTCATCTGGTTTTTGTATGACATTGTAAAACATTCACTATGGCTTATTAGGATATTCGAATCATGATATTCATAAGTGATTATCCTCATCTCGCGTTAAGCATTGTGAAGTTTTAGTATCTTGTGATTCCGAACCGTTGCTAAATCCTTAACATAGACTCGTTCTAAGCCGTGCGTGTACATTGGATTTACGAACTCTTGTACAACTTAGGTGTTTTTTTTTTCTAAGAAGGATAACTGCTTTACTGTACAATGAAAGCTCAGCATCCGTGAACAGTCTTTCAAAACTTTATTTCAATGAATGATATGATATGAAGAAATTGCAAGCTGTTACATTACCACATATATCACCTTTAGTCCTCTAAATCATGCAGTACTCAAGTGAGTAGCTGTGATATCTCTTTTCTTTCCCGTATCCCCGTAAAGCTAGCTAGTTAATTCCACTATCCTGGAGGAAATGGAGTGTCTAACATTTTCCGTGTGGCATTGTCTCCTGTGAGAAGCTAGCCGCTACCAGATCGGCTAGGTTTGCCTTTATTTTGTGTTCCGCGATTAAATGTCCACCTCTTCACTTTAATAAACTTTGCCAGGAAATCAACTCACTGATACTATACCAATTAAATTAATTATTGTTAGTTAGTATTAAAAAAACTATTATAAATAACTGTTCGACCTTCAAGCAGTTCACGCGGCGGTATCATAGGTTGACATCATGAATACTGCGTAAATTTCGAGGGCTTTGTAGAAAAGACTGAAAGGTTCAAGTCTCTGAAGGAAAACTACTGATCGATTCACTTTTTTTACAAGTTTATTACAAACCGGGTAGATTGAAAGCTAATGAGCTTTCTCATCCATGAGAAAGGAGAAATTACCATGATGTTAAGAAAAATTACTACATTTCCGAGCCCAAACCGGGAGCCGCTGGTTGACGACTGTTCCAGTCCTAATCTGGATCTCATCGTCGTATTTGATAACACCAACCGATTGCCGAGTAGAAGACATTCGGCCGTCAATGCTAACAGATACCTCTTGCTTGATGTTCTAGGTTGTTGCATTTTCTTTCACCACTTTTTAATTATTTTGACATGAATTCCAGTTTTAATTTTCATCCAGAAACACTTTTAAGCAAAAGTCAAGCAGCTTTCGATATAGAAGTTTAGTCGCAATATAGTATAATAATAATTGCATTCTCACTCTGTTACAAAGAAAAGACGATAAAGCTTTCGGTGATGGTTAATCACTGACGGATGACCTATGCATTCAACTCCATTCATAGCACAGTAGAGCTGAATAAATGTACATGTGTCCCGTACTCGTTCGACAGCCTACCAATGTAACAAGTCAGTGTTTCTATCTTCGAAGATAAGACTAATAGCGATTTGCCGACCCTTGAGAGATTGGAGTCTTGCCATTAGGTATCGCGGAATCGAATCAAGAGCCTAGCGCCTTTTGCAGACTATCTGGAATTACTACACCACCCGCGTCCTGTAGTAGCATAACATGATTGAATGCTTGAAGTAACACAAAAAGTTTTACTGTTTGAGTTTTTCGTTAATCTGAAAGCATATGTATTGGTTTAGGTTCCTTGAAAGTCGACACAAATGTTCGAGTTTCGGTAATTTCATTCGACAATAGCTCTCCTAAAGTTACAATTGAATTCACAGACATCTCCAACCGGGACACAATCTTCTCCAGGGTGATGATTTGATTCCAAAGTTATTTGCCGCCTTTTCTCTTTCTGAATTCTGTTTCTTACTTTTTAAAATCATCTCTTTAATCTTTATTTCGGTCAACTTTCATTTTAACGAATGTAGCTGTTTGACCCTTGCAGTAGGAAGTTTCCAGAAGAAGAAGAAGAAGAACAAGAGATCACTTACTGCGTCTTTTTAAAAATGAGGCATTTCAGATTGAAAACATTAAAGTCGTGCGTAGGAAGCCATCGTACACAAATGCCGTTATCGTCGCCCTGGAATATTTGGATTCTGAAGGAATGTAAGTGAATCTTCATTGTGGATCAAGAATCTACTTTTTTGGATATAAAACCTTCTATACAAATGAACTCCAATTTTTCTATTCGTTTTTATTTAACAAGTAGCATTGGAGTTCTCCATCACTTTCTATTTATTCCCAACTTATTTTCTTATTTTTTCTCTAATCAAATATCGGATCCGGATAAATCTGTGATACTCTGATCGTCTACTGGAACTCGATATCGGCTTTTTCACTACTCGCGTTTGTTTCATGCCGACATCAAGTTGAACATTTTTTTGTTTACAGTGCAGCTAAAGGTAAGCCTTTGTCAGAAATAGTTGCGGCAAAGCTCATCATAAGGTAATAAGTCGGCTTCCATTCTTCAAAGGTCAGCCGCCAGAGCAGTAACATTGGCTGACACTGATTTCTTGGAACCATTTCTTAAAAG